TAGTAAAAAAATTGTTTTCATCTATTTAATTAAAAGTGTATTTAATAATTAAAAAAAAAAAAAAAAAAACAATATAATACTGTCGATATAAAATAAGTCATATAATTTACTAACATGCATATTCAAACTTATTGATAGATAGTAACTTAAAAATGAATATTATTAACATAAACTAAAAAACTCCCCTCTACAATAATAATTTAGAAATTAAAGTAATTCATGTAGGTAATATTATAATATAACGCTATGCAAAATTAATAAATATACAAATTTAGTAAATTATGGATTTTTTTTTATTTATAAATTTATTACAGCTCAAGAGTTAAGTAATAAAATAAACCTCACAGGGTAAAGATAATACATAATAATAATAAACAACATTGGTATAAATTTAAGTCAGATTCTAGACTTATAGACTTAAATATTATAAATTCAATGAAATTTACAATTTTGATAATTTTAAATAAATTTATATAGCATGCACCTGGAGTTCCAAAAGTGTTAGTTGGTAATCGCTTGCATTTGGCATTTAAAAGACAAGTTAGTGTCAAAGAAGCAGAATCCTATGCCTCAAAACATCATATGACTTTGTTTGAGGTCAGTCCACTCTGTGACTTTAACATCAGAGAAAGTTTTAGTGAATTAGCGAGGCGAGCATTACATAGAAATGGAATGGAAAGACTTTTGCGATCAAACAAAGGTATATCTTATTTTAATATTTAAAATAATAGGTATGCATCAAATTTATGTTGTGTTTTGAATTTAAAAATTAATAATTTTTTTTTTTAAACTTTAGTATTAAGCCTCCAAGAGTTGTGTTGCCGTGCTATTGTAGCAAGAACTACCCAGTATGGTATAAACCAGTTGCCTCTACCTGTAACAATTAAGTCACACTTAAAGTCATATGCATTGACTAGTTTCTCAACTTTATCTATGTCATTGCCACGTAATGCTTCAGCATCCAAAAAAATTAAATTGCCTTCCAACAATACTGGAGTATCACGACAACATGGTCACCCTGCACACTCTGTATCACATCATCATCATTTGAAAAATACACCATTAAGCATTTCAACTTCATACATTACAAGAAACTCTTGTACAATATCATGACTTAAAATATAACATTAGTAACGAATCCACTGATTTGAATTTATTTAAAAATGTTTAGTAAGTGTATATTTTATGTTAAACAATGCATAGTATGTAATTTTTTTATTTGATCTGTGTTAAGACAATTCATTTTTTTGATTCAAAATTAAGTTAACATATCCATTAAGATAAATTGTGTAAATCAGTATGTTATTTTATTGATCATTATTCGGAAGCAATAATTGTAAAACTGTGTGGTTGTTTATAACCTCTTATTTATAAGGGGTATATGTGTAAATAACAAAAGTATGTAACTCGCATCTTTAGTCATTTTATTTTTGCATTTGTGAATTCTAACTATTTTTTTTCTTTTGTAACTGTTTTCAATGATTTTTTTTATTATTACTATTATTTTATATGATTAATTTTATTATTGTTTATGAAAATTTATGACAACAATTATTTTAATATTTTTAACATTGATAAATAAACATTGAAKTCATCATTCCTATAATATATAATTCATTATTGTTAACATTATTTTCATAATATTTACCCGTGTACTATTCCCGAAAAGTAGTGCAGTATTTGATGCCACTTTAATAATTTAAGTAAGTATGACATAATATATCTAACAAGACTAAAACATAAATATAAATTTAAATAAAATATCCAAACAATCAATATATATTTCATTACCATTATAAAATATAAAAACTAATTCTAGCCTTGTGTCTTTATATTTATATTTAATTTACATAAATTATGGCTGTTAATGTATTTCAGTTTAACTCAGACCGTTTCACAGTAAGTAATAATGTCTATGTAGTATTTGTCTGGTTAATATTRCATACGTACAATTATAAATATAATCAAGATTCAAACATATCCCTCATCTAGATCCCTGGGCACAATAATATWAAAAGTAACAAAAATTCTAAAAAGCTACAAAATCCAAAAGTTAGACATTACAACATAATATGCAGATTTAAAAACCAAATCAAGGAACGCATACTTCTCGACCAGATAATTACATATGAAATATCCAATGTCACTATAAGGTCGCTGRTTTCTGTCAACATCGAATGGTTCGTGTGTTTTGCTAAGCAACCCATTGAGAACAGTATATTGTGCACAATTGACCATTGTACTTTAATAAAATACGATTGCAGATGCTTTACTTCCACCATTTGGGGACTAATATCTATAAGAATTGGTACMTACCAAATATCTCGGTGATAGAAATAGTGATATCTCATAMAATTTTAGATGTGTCAGTGTCACTCACATATTTTATTCATACCTACAGAAGGTATCGTGATGGAAACGATAAGAAAAGATTCCAACACGCAATATAATACATGATTTGTTAAAAAATTATTTTTACTGCAACTTCCAGATTCCTATTAGTTATTRTTCTTTAATGAACATTATTTTAATAATTATACACCTAAATACTACTATTATTAAAGTCTTAATGATTATTTGATTATTAACAAATAACTTAAAATAATAGGTATTTTAAAAGCTTTTAATTATCAATACTAATTAAATATTATACATATTATTACGTTATTTTAATTGCTATAAAAAAGTAGGTACCCAAGATTAAATTTATAATATGTTTCATGAAATTCGGTGCGAATAAAAATGAACAGTTTTCATTAAYTTGTTAAACTAACTTAGATGATTTTCTTTGATAGGAACAACATATTAATAATTATTTATAATTAATTTTTTATTCGCATACTAATAACTATACCTAGCTGTTTGTTTCAAAAGTAATAATAATAAATTTACAATTAATAACATTTTTGTTGTAAGATAAAATAAACATCTTTATTCTATTTATTTATTTTTTATTATTTAAAGATATGCGAGAGTGTCATTAATGGGTGGCTGCTCTCATCAAACGTAACATGTACTATATAATTTATTGTAAACTGTTTTTATTATTAATATTAATTGTTTTGATACCTTATATATATTCTGTTTCACATTTACTCATTGTGCCTAAGGTATAGATTGTAAATTTCTTTTAAAAATAAAAAATAAAAAAAWWATTTAAAGATAGATAAAAGTAGGTAAGCACTACACATGTCGATTAAGTACAGTCATTTTTCATGGTTTTTTAAAATTGGTGAATATACCTAGGTACTTCAAATTACTGAGCGTTGAACGGATTATTCTTCGAATTGTCACGTGTTAGTGTCCAGTTTTCCCAAAATGTAATTTTGAATTACCAAAATACCAAGTGTACTTAAATGTATTGTTTTTATTCGAATTACCGCGTGATTTTCAAGAGACCGAACATTTACTTCGAATTACCAAATGTTTCGAATTATTGGAGGCTTACATTATTGAGAGTCGACTGTACCTAGGTTTAGATATACATGTACCTATGTCCTATATTATTATTTAATAAATAAAATTTACATAATCATATTTTCCCTCGACGTCCCCAATAACAAACACGCACGCCTGCACACTAAAAACGAACCTTTCCGTGTTTAATTTCGATACTTAACAGTATATAAGCAGCGATGGCGTAAAAAYATGTTCAACACGTCAGTGTTTTTTCTTTTTGAATCGTGCGTCGAACAATAACTTTTATAGGATCTAGGTTTTTGCTTAATGGAGTTTTATTATTTTGTTGAAATTTAAAATATTGGGTAGGTACCTATATACTCAATTCACAGGTAGGTACATAATATAAAATAATGAAATTAAGAATTACATATATAATTATAGCTCAGCATTTTTTGCTTAATTTTCTCATTTATTATACCTATGCAGTAATACATATAATGTAAASTCTATTGTTTTTACTTATTGTAATATTATTGATACTAACCAAACAAAATTTACTAGTTTAGAAAACATGTCAGACGATTATCAATAATAATTAAGATTTAACATATAGCTATTAGCTACCTATATTATTATTGGTATACCTACCTACTTACATTGTACAAACAATAACAATTACTGTGTGCATAATAGTGTAATACTTTAATATACGTATTATAAATTTATAATATAATAGAACCTTTATATAGGTTGTACCTATAATATTATTTTATACCTCTTTTGCAGTTACTTATAAAGGTACTGTCGTAATACTCATATTGATATAAAACAAAAACAAACCAATTAATAGAGTAATAAGTATATCTAAACTCTGAAGTGACTAGGGAAACTTTATATGAATATAGGAACATTGGATAACTATAAAAAAATGTGTGTTCTTATAATTTTAAAACATCGTCGTGTAGACAAAAATTGTTGGAAAACAATGGGTAGGTTTAAATACAAATTAAATAAACATTAAATATAACATTTAATAATATTTAATAAACATTTAAATATTCTTGATTTTTATTTTAAGAAATACACCACCGACTTTATATGATAAAATAATATTAAARGAAAAAAAACGAAATTTAGTTGATGGTAAACTCTATCAATAACAACTATTTTTGAGATATCTAAACGCATTGGTGCAAATAGAGTTTAAGATTTGGAGGAGGGCTAACGCCTTATTATAATAATAAAGAATAGATATGCTTAAAAACAAGTTTGAGAATCGTTGGAGGGGGAAGCGGATGGTTATACCTCCTAAATCCCTCCCTTACTTACGCCTATAGTGGTATACTACAGGTATAGCTACACAGAAACTATCGAGAGGCGAATGCGTTCGATATAATATTGTACCTAGGTAAATTTTATTTTGTCCGTTAGGTGTATGTATCGATATTTATAGATGTATGTATTGAACGGAATAGTCAGGGAAAATGGTATAAAGTTTTGCTTTGTTTAAATAAATTTAAGTATTATGAGCAAACAATTTTAAAATACAGTGAAGAAAAGTGACCGTGTGCCGTGTGGAAGTAGAAAATTTTCTACCACTTTAAAAACAAATAACAATTGGTTCCGGAATTGAACGAACAATCGCATTCCAACGGACACAATAAGGTATAAAATAATAAACTTCGACAGTTCAACGGGAAGTAGCAAGTAGTGGAACAAAATGAAAGATAACACGAAATAATTTTGAGGCGTCAAGGAAAATTATTATTAAACTTACACTGTCTTGATGAAAATTTATTGCACAGAAATAACAGTGAAATACGTTCTAGATGTCAGTTATAAAATAATTATTTTTATAATGCTGGAAGAAAGGTTATATAGTAGCAAAAATAATTCTTTTGACATTCGTAWTTTTTTAAATGAAACTCAATATAGGGCATGTCGAAAGAGCATTTTGTTCAATATTATAATATAGGGAAGAAAGAGTTATTTTTTTTCTCCTCATAATCTCGTGTAAAATAAATTTCGCAGATTTGTGTACTTTGTAGGTATAAACAGGTATAAAGCAGAAATAGTATATACATATAATATACGGTGTGGATTATGGTCTATGGATGAAACATTTACATAATTTACATATCCRTATTACGTGAAACATTTTTTTGCAGATTTTTATAATACCAGGATAAAATAATAGTCATCACATTCTTTTGTGTCTTACAGTAATCTTATATACCTAGTATATTTTAGGTTTTAATTATCAACGAAACATGTTGATCGTATATGGTTTTATTTTTCATCCAGAAAAATATCGTTATTGATTTTGAAAACTAAAGATTAGTACGGTTAATTGTACATTTTTTTAAAAATTAAGTTAATTTTTTTTTTTTATTAATTAGCTTTTAGTCGGAAACTAACTATTACAGCTCAACAATTATATATCATACATATTATAAATAAAATATTGTAAATTATACATAATAAGAAAGCAATTAATTTAGATAAGGTATACACTATTTAGATACATAATGAAATAACATAACAATCATGTTATAAGGAAAAATTTTACAGAAATAGCTATGGAGATAAAGAAGTTTTGGTGATTAATGTGTGAAGAACTGAAGAGAGGAGAGTAATTAGAGGACTGATAAGAGAATTGAGGTTAGTGATAAAGTTAGATAATTATCCGAGGAAAAATCTTGAATCCGGTTGGCTTCAGCGTATAATTTTGGTCTGGATTGAGGGTTTGGCGTCGGAACTATGGTCGGAGAAGCATTTAGGAGTCTT